CTCTCTTAGTGAGTGTGTGATCCAAATTGCAAAATCAATTTGTGGGTTAAGAGAGAATTTGAAAAAGAGAGCAAGCCATCACTTGAGCACTTGTGCATATTGTCAATATCGTGATTTGCATTTGTTACTCTTGGATTCTTCGGTCCTAGACGGCTAGGCGTCGCCGGAGAGCAACCGAGAGATTGTGGTTGCTTCGGAAAGTTTGTAACGGTCGATTCCGCCGCCTCGGAATCATTTAGTGGAAGGAGGAAAAGGAGTTGGAAAAGACTCCGGCTAGAGTGACCTTCGTGGTACCCTCTAGGGCTGACCTTCGCTGGGTCGCCCGCAGCCCCCTCAACGGAGAGTAGGACTCGAACGAGTCCGAACTTCGGTAAAACAAATATCGTGTCTCAATTCGCATTTCATTTGATATTTGTGTTGCTCTAGCTATTCTGCAGGTTCTCTGTGTATATTGTCATCTCCATTAAGTGCCTGCAGTTTGGTTTGAAGATAGAAATGGAAAGGAGCAAGTTCGGGGCCGATCTACTGAAATCGTGTATACCGTCCGGTATTCATACCGGACACGTCCGGTATTTCCTGCCTGCACTGAAAATATTTATTCTCTGTTCTAACTTGGTGTTGCAGGGTTGTAGCTTCTAGATATATTCTTTATACCTTGTTTACTCTGTGGCTAACTTGTGAGGGGTGGTAGTACTCTTAATTTGGAGTTTCCATTTTGGAAACTCCCCTTTCTAATTGTTTCCGCATTTAAAGGTGTTAATTTTCAGAAACACCTATTCACCCCCCTCTAGGCGACATCCTAGATCCTTTCAATAACCCATACGCCAGGAAGTCATGCATGGAGTACTGGTACCAGACGTACATTTTGAAGCTTTCCTTTGTAGCTCGGTCGTATGTCCATACCCCTTCATTCCAAGCTTTGATCAACTCATCAATCACAGGCTCCATGAACACACCCATCTTACTCCCTGGGTGCTCGGGAATTATCAACGTCAAGATCACGTTATGTCCTTGAAAGGCGATGCCAGGGGGAGATTGAGGGGGATAACAAACACGGGCCAACATGTGTAAGGGGCAGACATCATGCCATAAGGATTGAACCCATCTGTTGCCAGCGCGACACGTACATTACGAGCCTCATCGGATTTCAAACGATGCTTGTCATTAAAGCTGGTCCATGCTTCACCATTAGATGGATGCACCATCTTGTCAGGATGGTAGCGTTTGCCATTCTTGTGCCACGTCATCTGTTTCACGGTTTCCTCGGTCATGAATAGCCTTTGAATCCTCGGCACGAAGGGAAGGTGCCGTAGGACTCGGGCGGGTATCTTAAGCTGGGTCTTCTGGCCACCACCGTCACCAGACTCTACCTCCAGGAACCTGGAGGCTTTACACTTCGGACAGTATTTTGCCTCCTTGAGTTCTCCCTGAAATAGGACACACCCGTTCGGACAAGCATGTATCTGCTCATATGGCATCTTTAGTGCTTTAAGGAGCTTGTGTGCCTCGTACATGGTCTTCGGCAACACGTGGTTTTTTGGAAGCAGGGTGCCAACCACGGCCAACACCTTATCGAAGCCTTCTCGACTCCGGTTTAAATCGGACTTCAACCCCATCAAGCGACTTATGGCATCCAAATTGGGAGACCTCGAATGAGCATGAAGGGGTTTCGTCTTTGAGTCCATCATGTACTTGAACGCATCTACGGCTGCTGCGCATCTTCGCCTCCTCACGTCCTTGACAGAACTGTGCTTGGTGAACGCGTCATCTACCATGTCTCGCTACCCCGCGCAAAGATCGAAGCCTCGATCGTTGTCTTACCACCTCCTCTCTCATACGATCGGCTTCACCATGGTGGACCCACCGGTGTAGTTCAGGCGTAAACCCATTCTTGTGCGAGATGTGTACCCATGAGTTCCTTGTCTAGCATTCTCCTGTTACCACACTTGCTGCAGGGACACAAAGCCATTTTCGGGAATTTTGCGGCCTTGCCAAATGCACGATTCAAGAAACGATCGGTCTTCTGCATCCATTCATAGTTGGCATCACCCTGACTTGTCCGGCCCGTGTACATCCACTGACGGTCCTCCATCCTCTAGCATATATAACATCACCACAGGTGACCATCAATTGCATCTACGCGGTGTCCCTACTCTCTAATAGGTGAGGATAGGTCATAATCTCACCCACGGATGCATAGATGAGGTTAGTTTCCATGCTCCGCTCCTATCCGAGACGGAATTTTGGTAGCACCTCCCCGCCGTTCTCCCGATACACGTCCTGCAAGGGAGAGTGTGTATCCGGAGAACAACGGAGAGGTGATGCCGAAACACCGTCTCGAACCGGAGCGGAGCATGAAAACTAACCTCAACTACGCATCCGCGGGCTGTCCAAAAAGCGTGGACAATCCGAAATAGATACGGTCGCAGATATGCAAAGGTCCGCATATCTCCGACCGTATCTCTTTCGAACGGGAGACACCTAACTAGGTTACGCGACCAAAAACCACATACGAATAGAGGGGTTATACCTAGGGTGGCGGTGAGGTCCGGGTAGCGGGGCGGTGGAGAGTCGATGCAGTGGCGAGTCAACGCGGTGCAGGAAGACCCACAGCGCCGACGAAGATGATCGGGGTCGCCGAGTCCCTCCCACAGGTCCTCCTGCAAAAAAGGGCAAAAATGGTTAGTGTCGACTCAAAATTTCGGCAGCACCTCCCCTGCACGGGGAGGTTCCCAAAACCTGCAAAAAACATGGCACGAAGGCCAACAACCACATATATACCAAACATGGACACGAAGGCCAACAACCACCAATATATCAAGAGAAGCCATGTACTTTAGTTCTCTTTCCATGCACATGAAAGTATTGAAGTAGTACAACAACAATTACTACTAACCCTACAACTACTACTAACACTACTACTAACAACTACTTAACTACTAACAATGCTAATAGTAAGAACTACTTAACTATTAACAACTACTGCTACTAACCACTACTACTTACTAACTACTACTACTTACTAACCCTACAACTAACACTACTAACTACTACAACTAACACTACAACTAAAACTACTAACTACTACTACTAACACTACAACTAACTACTACTAACACTACTAACTACTACTACTACTAACACTACAAGGGTAGGGCTTACCTTGGCGGCAAGAACGGCAAGAGCGGGGGTCGGCGACGACGGCGGGGATGACCGCAGCAACGTGAGGATCAACGGCCGGTCGGAACGGCGCGGGGATCGACGGGCGGTCGGGTCGGCACCTTCCTCTTCTTCCTCCTCCCCCTTCTCTTTCTTCCTCTTCTTCCTCCTCCCCTTCTCTTTTTTCCTCTTCCTCCTCCCCCTTTTTTTCTTCTTCTTCCTTCCTCTTCCCTTCTTCCACCTACCTCTTCTACTGCTGGCCGGCGGCCAGACCACGGGCAGCCGGCCTCGTCGGGGACGGCCGGCGAGGTGGGGCCGCGTGGGTTTTAGGCAACCGACGTCGCAACTTACTCGAAACTTTCTCAATTTTTTACCAGGGCCTCCACATGTGATAACAAGACACATCGACAAGTTTCGTGATTTTCGGACATCGTTTGGATTTTATATAATTTAAATAAACTTCCCCCGCGAGTACATCGTCATGTTACGACAACATGATGCGCGACATTTCATGCCACTTCCTGCATACGGCCTCGACATAGCCTAAATATCATGAATACTATTTTTTGAATGACCAAATTCCATTATTTCATGTACCTGCAGTTCAAATTTGGAATAGTCGAAAAAATTCAATGAAACGGAAAAAATTAAGGAAATATAGTTAAAAACTCATAATTGTCCCAAATTTTGAAATAGGGATATATTTACTGTAGCAAATCCCCACAAAAAAATGGGGTAAAAAAACAAAAAAAAAAAAAATTTGTCGGATGCCAAGTCATGGGGCACCTGACAAAGAAATTTTAAAAATAAAATAAAAAAATTCTTTGCCGGGTGCCTAACGGCGTGGCACCCGGCAAAGGCTGATGGCCGCTGGCCGCCGTCAAGCCGGCCACCTTTGCCGGCGGCCATATTTTGCCGAGTGGCCGGCACCCGGCAAAGACCAATTTTTGCCGACGGCTGGAATTTGCCGAGTGCCCGGCACCTGGCAAAGGCTGCTTTGCCGGAGACCTTTCTTTGCCGGGTGCCGCCAGGCCTGGCACCCGGCAAAGAATTCCTTTGCCGGGTGCCCGATAAAAAGCACCCAGCAATTTTTTTTTCTCCCGGCAAATCAGTCGTTTCCTGTTGTGAGGATGCGCAATCTCACACCAACAATGATCAACAGTTGATCCCCTACGCTGGTTGAGAGTCAGCTTTATGTTTTGCGCAGTTTGTGCGCTAATTCTGGGTTGTATACCTTGTATGGAACCCGTTTAATCTTGCTGGGTCTCTTTTGGTGACATTTCGTTGCGCTAAGCCCGGGTAGTAGCAGTAGTTTGTATCCTTGCATGTGTTCCCTTTGCGATCATGTGCTTGGATTAGTCTCATGATACATGTCTTGTTGCGTGGCTCGTAAAAACTGTGACTTTCTGTAATTTCATTGTCATGGTAATGAAATTTGGTTTTACCGGTGTGGGAAAAAAAAGAACTCATTTCTTCTCTACAACAAGAAACGAGCTAGTAATCAAAAGAAGCCAGTGAAAAGCCAGGGGAGAGGAGCTTCATTAGCTTCTGCTATAGTAGCACTACGCAGAAGTTGAAGCCCTCGTAAGCCCCACTCACTAAAGAGACCCATAAAAGGAATGTACAAAGCTGCTGTTTCGTACGTCGATCTGTCACCTCGTAAGCTCATACATAATAAACTCGTAATGCAAGAACTAAGATTGGTATATGATCGCTTAAAAGTATTCATTCTCATCGTGAGGCGGCATCTAATTTGTGACGCTAACTAAAATTCTAAAATTGCATCTGAGAAAGAAAATAACACGTAAAAACATGGACACTGCTACAATGATAATCACTGCTCAGTCCGTCAGCGCGGTGGTGTTGCTGCCCAGCAGCGCGGCCTTCTCCCTGAACTGCTTCCACTCGTCGAACACTTCGGTGAGCCTCTGGAGCTTGGACTTGAGCCCGAGGAGGCAGTTGGCGTGCACCGTGCACACCCTGTAGAAGTCCTTGTGGAGGTCGCAGAAGCCGCTGAGGTAGGCCGTGTCCACGAACTGCACCCGCACGCCATGCCGCGCCGACAGCTCGTGCTTCACTTGGTCGAACACGTACTGCTCGTGCGCGCCCGGGTACCCCTTCCGCGCCTCGTACCAGCTCCCGTAGAACGCCTCCATCCGTGCGCTCGCCTTGGCGTACACGAACCCGCCGTTGGCAAACTTGTTCAGGTCGTACGGGTTGTCGCCGCCGAAGAAGTCGCACGACATGGCCATGTCTGCGCCTATCGGGATGCGCAGCAGTGGGTTCCGCAGCCAGATGATGTCCACATCCTGCGGCACATTATACCAGCATAATACATAAGCATGCACGAACGCACACACGCATCAGTCAGTTCTGCAGCAGATCTTTCAGCTCCGATCGGAGCTACTGCTGCTCTGTACGTCTCCGACGGACCCCGACACCAGTTCTCAGTGCTCACCGTGAAGACGAAGCTGTAGCCGAGCTCCAGGATCCGGGCCTGGAACCGGTTCCTGCGCCACATCATGTCCAGGTAGTCCTTCTGCATGTACGTCTGCTCCGCCGCGAAGTCGGCGCCGTCGACGCGGAAGTAATAGCAGAGCTGGTGCACGTGCTGGCACCGCTCGTACGCCTTGGCGTCCACGGCGACGACGATCAGGTGCTTGAGCAGCGGCGCCGTCCTCACGCCCAGGCGGAAGCTCTGCAGGAAGAGGTCAAGGAGCGAGCCCGGAGCCGTCCACGCCTCGTTCGTGAAGGTCATGATGATGGTCTTGTCATCCATGGCGGCTCTTTTCAGCAGCTCCAGCAACTCGTGGCCGGTTGAATTTGAAATGCCGGCCTGCTTGCAGTAACAGTGGACACGTCAAGAATTCATCATATATAGTCAGGCAAACCAATGAAGTGATAACAACTACGAATCAAAACATTATGGATGATTAGTACTATAGTTTACATATGGCAAAGAAGGGGTCCTTGCTATATAATGCATGCACGGACCATGTGAAGCTTCTTCGTGCTGGGAATGGGATCAGCTTGAGTTCCGTTACCCAAGACGACGGATTCTCGCTCTGCCGGCAGGACACCGCAGGGGCACGGAGCAGGCGGCACTAGCAGCAGGATGCAGGCCGCGGTGACGGCTGCTCCGAGCAAGAAACCCCAGAAATTTTTGGTGTTGTGGCTGTACGACATCTCGAAGAAGAACAGAGCCTTGCCGCACTTGCAAGCACAACCCAGGAGGCAGCACCCGGCCCCTGCTTGTAGAGTTGTAGACTTGTAGTGGAGTGGTAGCACAAGTGGACAACCAACTTTTTTTAAGGGGAATCAGTATACGGCTAAGGGTGTTCCAATGGTTCCCAGGTAGCCAGTCTAGAAAAAATTCTATTGGTTATCAAAGTGAGAAATCAAATAGCTAGCGACTCCTAAATAGCTAGTCTAGCATGATCTCTCAGAAACATCTCTCTCACAGCTCACATAAATCTCCACTACATTATTCATTTTTTTTTAATTTCTATGTCTTATCTAGCTAGCTATTTATAAATTGCTATTGGGACGCCCTAACTGAACACGCTCGTGACTCGATCTCTCAGAAACACCTCTCTTACAGCTCACATCAGTCTAAGACACAGTTTGTTAATTCATTGAGCCGTTAAACAAGTGCCATTGCATGATCGATCATGACTAGTTCATCTGCAGTACTCTAGAGGACGGTCGGGTCACTGTAGGGTAAGTGAAGACTCCGCGAAGCGTCGAGTGGAGTACTATGCCAGTAGCCAGTATGTAGGAGTAGATATCGAGCTCGATTAGAATGATTTGTAGTAACAACTCAACGAGGTTATGTTTGATAGCGAGAAATGTTTTTATTCTTGCATGAATCACTGGACCTGCCAAAAGGATATTTTGGTAAAAAGTTTCTCTCAAAAAATAAACGATGAGCATCACTTATTTGGTTTTAGTACCTGTGAGCAAGAATCACAAAAAAGAGTTTTCTCTAGGTTCTCATCACTTTCCACTCATTTATTGTTCGAGATTACGAACCTAGATAACTAGCGGAACGTTCGTAAAAGAATGACAAACAATGAGAATCACTTCTCTTTGTTTTACCTGCGAGCAAGAATCGTCAAAAAGAGTGTTTCTCCAGATTCTCATCACTTTCCACTCGTTTATTCTTGTAAATTTCGAATCTAGATAACTAGCCAAACATCGTAAGAAAAGTGATCCCGTTCGTCTAGAGACACAGTTTTAGGGACAAAATCCAGATCCTGAGATCCTAAGCGTTTTGACTCGGCGCATTATATTTTGTTGGGCAACTATATATCTATGGCGGCTCGTCAGTAAGACCAAGTATAGAATCCACATAAATATGATTACTACTGTACTAAGTCCAACCTCCACGCCAAAGTCTCCAACTAGTAGGATCGACGGCGCCCATGCAATGTCCAATGGGGAGTCACCTTTTTTGGATAAGTAAACGGGGGAGCTAACTCAACGTGTGGCCTTTGGAGAATTGGAGCCCTGAATACATCGAACTCCCCGGGCCCCGGCGCACTGCAGACTGACACTGCACACCATTGGCAGGCGGCCGCGTAGGCTAGCGTTGGTGACCCGCGCTCCGCGGTGCCACTTGTGCAATTTGTTTGCCTTCCCGCTTCGTCACGAGTCATGACCCGCGTCGGGACTCGGGAAGGGAATCCTAACTTGTGACCTCGCATTACGGGGCCGTGGGCGTACGTTGAATGAAACTTCCACGGTCGCTAGCACGGGCAGGGCTAGGCAGTCCCAACGGTGTATTGATGATAATTTTTATTCTTATTAAATAACTTATCACGTAGGTAAAATGTTGACATAACAACATAATTAATGAAGAAAGAGAGTAAAAATCATAGAAATTGTTTCCTTATAAAAAAATCAGGTCTTCTCTTGACTCAATGCATCAAGAAACCATGAAATCGTCGTTGGGGAGAAACCACAAATTTTTAGGGAGCTCGTGCCGCACTCGCATTGAAGGAAGAAGATAGAGTTAGGAGAGAGAAAAAAATTTATTATTACTCATAAAAATTATGGATTGAAAAATAATATTTTTGTGATACGGTCCTATGTTATAGAAAGCCTTTTATTTGGTTGGGACTGTCCTGTGGCGCTCCGGTAGTCCCTGCAGCAAAGCAGTTTGCGCGCGCGCGCACACACACCTCGCGCGCCAGCATTAATGCCCAACGTGCAAACTAGAGTAAATGATCGAGCAATTAATGCAAGCTTGCATCGGGTAATCCAACTAGGTAGTTTTTTTCCCCCAACCGTTAGGGCGTCCCCAACGGCTATCGAGTTTGCTACCTCGGAGGAGCGCCTATCCAATCAGAAGAAGAGAGAACGAGGAAATTTACCAAGCTAGCGCGTGCACAAGAGCTCAGCTTGCAGTCTCCTAAAATTTTCCAACTCTCTGACACGATTGCCACTATCTAACCTTTTATTTTGAATTATATTTAACCTCCATGTCACCTATTTGTAAACATTGCTGAGGACACCCTTATATTTTAGTTTTTTAAATATTTTTATTTATTTGACTATAATTGTCTTCTCCAAATGCTTCCTAACTACATCCGTTTGCATGAATTCTATACAACTACCATCGATTTTGTTAAGGGGACGCACTGGTTTTGGTTTTAGGCTCAATTGTTACGCTAGGATGATTGCAAAGATCAGATTCACGAGGTATGTAAGTTACTTGAAATAAGTGCCATGATTTTTTTGCGTTTAATGGATGGTCTTATGTGTACTGCCTCAGTCTCTAGTTCATAGCCTTGTAATAAGTTTTAATGAGGTGTGTTTTCTTGTTTTTTATGTGCACTAATGTTTCTTTTCGAAGGAGACTGAAGCTGGAACTATTTTTCATTATCTAAAAAAAGCTACCATCAATCAATTCGGGCTAAATAAATGTCGCTCATGTTCCTTTCTATTCCATTCATATAGCCTATTCGGTTGGTTGGTTCGTATTGTTGCTGGTTCGTTTACGTGAGAGAGAAGTACTGTTGGTTAGTTCATGTAAACAGTGTCCATGTGAGGGGGCTGGCCAGCCCAGCCAGCCAGCCAGCCCCAGCCGAACAAGGCGATATCCCATGGCTCCGCAAATTTCTGCCGAGACAAGATCGATGTAGTTTTCAATTATTTGTTGAGCCTGATAATACCAGCCTTACACAAAAATTTCAATTGTTTGACCCTCTGGTATGTTTAAATTTTGAATTGTCTTATACCTTACTTAGAGCAGCCGCAGTGTATAGCAAGCTGTAGAAGAACAAAAAGGGACCCATGAGCAGGGTGCTAATGGTAATAAAATGCTCTAAATTTAGCTTGATTTATAAAATTGGGAATTGAGATAAATAAAATATATTATTTTTCAGATGCATCAGCGTGGCTCAAGTGACTGATATGTGTCTTCATCAAAAAAAATTTCAAGGCAATTGGTGCTTCATCTTCGTTTCGCACCAACCATGCTCCACCGTTCAACACCCACAGAATTCTTCCTACCACCACCTAGAACGTACCCCCACGTTGCTGCTCTTATGAATTCGTAGCTGCCATTTTTGCATGAAACATTACTGGATTTACCCAATGTTGCTCATGTCTACTGGAGTCACTGTTGCCTTGGATAGCCGCAAGTTGGCCTTGCCATCACACCAAAATCTATTGGCGCAAGAATTTCAAAACAAATTGTGGGGACATTCAATCTATCGGTGCAGAAAATGATCAACACGTAAATATTTATAGTTTTACTGTACGTTGTAATCGGTGTGGCCTAGCCCTCAATGACATAGGGTTTATACTGGTTCAGCCAACGTGCCCTACGTCTAGTTTGAGTCGGTCGGTAACTTTATTCCTGAGCCTAGGTGCTCGAAGTTTACTGTAGGGTTACAAATGGAAGGGAGAAAGATGGGGGGTGCAAGAGGTTCGGTCGGACTCTGGTCTGAAGGGCTGAGAATGACGGGAGCTCCGCTGTGCGCTAAGGACCTGTTTGGCAGAGCTCCTGCGGGCTCCGGCTCCCGCCTCCCGCCCCTGTCGACCGCCCACGGGTCGACAGGGATCCGGAGCCGTTTTTCTCTCTCCCCTTTACTCCTCTCACAAACCCAGGCGGAGCCGGCGGAGCTCGTTTTTCGGGCTCCGCGGCTCCGGCTCCGCCTGGCACCTATCGACCCGTGGGCGGCCGACAGGGGCGGGAGCCGGAGCCGCAGGAGCCCTGCCAAACAGGTCCTAAGTGTTTGAACGTGTGCTCGAGGTTTGAACCTAGTGGTTCTGTTGTTGTGTGTGAGTGAACTGATCGATCATCGTTTGTTGGGATAGAGCGCATCCACTTTTATAGATGAAGGGGACGGCCTTACAAGTGAGAGAGTACATATGCTACTAAGTCTTGTTGCCCAAGCCGTCGGGTACAAGATGATTGTAGGCGCTCACAATACTGTTGATGTCAGACGCATGTGGGAGGTTTTCACCGTGGTCACCAGGTACGGTAAATGCCAGCGCCCACAACACTGTGGATGCCCAGATGCATGTGGGAGGCCTTACTGCGTTTCCCTGATATGGGAATTGATGGCGCCCGCAACACTGTAAGGTAAATATCGACGCCCTCAACACTGTTGGGGTTCTGACATGCTTAGAAGGTTTGCAGGGTGCCCTTCTGCCATGCCCTGTGGGTACTGTCCTGCAGGTGTACAGGGTACGGTCCTCGGTATTGCTGCTGACTTGAGCGTCCTGCTCTACTTGCTCTGTCCGTTTTCTGGTCCTCACCGAGCGGGCGTTCCCGATCGGTTGGTCCCAGTCGGCTCCGACTGCGCCAGTCGGAGAAGAGCTACAAGCAGAGGTTCGGTGCATCCCCGGTGGGAGATGCGGGTTGGAGTCGAAAGCGGCATTTGGCCAGGCCTTCCGGTCGGTGAGACGGGCCGGAGTCGGAAGCGAGGCCTTCCGGTCGGAGAGGCGGGCCGGAGTCGGAAGCGAGCGCTGTTCCTCCTTGGCCAGGCCTTCTGGTCGGAGAGGCGGATCGCTCTTCTGGCCCGTCGTTCAGGTAGTTTTGGGCTGGCCCAGGAGTTGCGCGTTTGTTCGCGACGTCGTCTACTGGGCCGAGTCTTTGCTGGGAAGCGGGTCCATGAGGGACCCCGGATTTATGAACCTGACAGGAGCCCCCGAGCCCCCGGGCAATTCGGGTA